CATTTGGATAACAATTTGGATAACTAGAAACTATTTCGCGATATCACGTCCAGAACCTTTCAACATCATCTCGAACATCCCTTAATATTATCTCTAGCAGTCTTTAATAACCATCAGTAAGTTTCAGTACATCTCTCTATATCATTCTCATTATCCTGGCCTGCTTTCAATGTTAACACTCTACATATTCTTCACATTTAGACACATTTGGATAACAATTTGGTTAACCAGTAACTATTCCTCGATATCACATCCAGAACCTTTCAACATCATGTCAGACATCCCTCAATATTATCTCTAGCAGTCTTTAACAACCATCAGTTAGGTTCAGTACATCTCCCTATATCATTTTCATTATCCCGGCTTGTTTTCAATGTCAACCTCTACATATTCTTAACATCCTTCGATATTGGATGTTAAGACATCATCCCGAGCAGCACTCATTGCCAACTTTGATAATCATTGACATCGTCCCGTACATTGTATCATGTAATTCATGGCATGCCTCAAAATCGTTTTAACTATTTCTAGACATATGTGTAGCATCTCGCAACATCGTCCTAACCATACCTCAATATCGTCCCTGGCACACCATCTCTGTAATATCAATAGTTCTGATATGTTTCAATGTCAATTCTTCTCAACCTGAACCAACCATCCTTCCATATCATCCCCAACAACCCTTTACATATTTAAAACATTCTTCAAAATTGTTTCCGATATTCCTTAACATCAACATCACCGTGAACAGCACACAATGCCAAATATAGGGTGAAATCCATTTCAAATATATTTTAAATAGGAATGTGTGCAAAACATAAAAAATTAAAATGTTCCGTTTCGATATATTCAGGCCAGCTCTTAATATACTGACTAATACTCTTCACCAACATCCTAATCATCCCTAAATATGATCATATTATATGACCATCTCTCAATAGCCTTTTTGTTACCCTCAATATAGTTTTAAAAATCTATCAAAATTGTTAGTAGCAAACATTAACATCATCTCTAGAATAGTTCAAAATCAAATCGGGGTTCCTCAACAATGTCCTGGTCATTTCTCAATATTGTCTCTAGCACACCTCAGATCCCTTAATATTAATTCTTATATCTTTAAATATCTTCCCTGGTCATCCTTTTATGTAGTGTCTGTGTGTTTTATGCCTTGACATCATATCTGTTATCCAGCAATATAGTAAAACCGGGTCTTAGACATCCTTCTATATAGTTGCTGGTATAGTTCAAAATCGTCCCATTATTATAGACATAATGTCTGGGATATTGTCACTGACATCCCTCAACTTCATTTTTAGTATCCTCATCATTGTCTCAGATAGCACTCTATGCTGTGACTGATATCCATCGATATCTTTCGCTATTACATTACATTACATTACATAGAATACATATCGGGTAGGCGGACCAACCAACCTTGCACCGCGACCCTAAGGATCTATTGTACCCCGATAGATATCGTTATCAAATTTCACCGTGCAGTCCAATGCTCTTAACGAACATTAATACCTTGCTCGGCGAAAGGTCATTCAGATCTTTTGAGGAGATAAACTGCGACCCAAAAATCGAGAATCTGATACGGTTAACGGCAGGGCAGTGGCATAAAACATGCTCAACCGTCTCTGCTTCCTCCGCACATAGTCGGCATTCAACATCGTCGGCTAAACCCAACAAGTTGAGGTGTGCTTTTAATCGGCAGTGCCCAGTAAAAACACCCATTAGAACTTTTATGCTACTACGGGCAAGTCCTAAAATATTCCCGGGTTTGACAGTGGCGATGTTAATAAACACCTTAGCATGTCTCATTCCAGGAGAACTGGTCCACAGTAGGCGAAGTCTCTCTTCAGCCCACAGTCCAATCCTATATTTGGCCATCGCAAATGATACACCAACTGCTGGTTCCGGTCCCACAAACGCTTCAGCGCTGCCATCTCGTGCTAGCTTATCTGCCGCTTCATTGCCAGCAACCCCAGAGTGACCCGGGACCCAGATCAGAGAGACTCTGTTATCACAACTCAGTGTGTTTAATGTTCTCTTACAATCATTAACCAGAGCCGACACCGTTTTCACGGCTTGCAGCGCCTGGAGAGCGGCTTGACTGTCTGAGAAAATTCGTACTGTCATGTTCTTCACCCCTCTTTCAAGAAGGATTTTAGCACCCATGTCAATAGCAAATACTTCCGCCTGGAATACAGTACAGTACGTACCCAGGCTGTAGGCTTGCTTAATTCGAGGTGTCTGGCAGTATACTCCTGCTCCTACCCCTTCAGGCGTTTTTGATCCATCTGTGTACAAGCAAATGTCTGCCCGAACCAGAGAATTTTCATTTTCGATCCAGGACTGCCGCTCAGGCAGTACAATCTGGTATCGAGCATTAATCACTGATAGTGATACCGCCAAATCTGACGGCATTGATAGCACAGTATCAGTGCTTATAATGTCTTCCGCAGCCCATTGGTAGGACATGTCGGAACAGTTTTGAGCATATTGCTTAAATCTGTAAATGGTTGTTCTAGCCACTTTCTCTATATGCAAATGCAGAGGAGATAGGCCAAGCAGAACCTCCATTGCTAGAGTTGGCGTTGTGCCTATCGCACCAGAGATTGCCAATCCAGCTACTCGTTGAATTCGTGAAAGTTTACTGATAACTGAAGTCTGTCGGACTTTCCTATACCAGGCTGCTGCTCCGTATGTGATCATAGGTCTAACCACAGTCACATAGAGCCAGTACAGTCTTTCAGGGGTAAGACCCCAATTTTTTCCACAAAGACTGCGACAAGTCCACAAGGATAGTCTAGCTTTGTGCAAAACTCCCTGCAAATGTCCATTCCATGACAGGGTTTTGTCTAGGATTACTCCTAGATATTTGACTTCCTTTGAGAAAGGAATTTCTTCACCTTGGATAGTTGGGCGGATTAGTCCATCCAACTTTCGCTTCCTGGTGAAGGGCACAACAATTGTCTTTTGCGGGTTTATTGAGAGGTTCTCTCCCTTACACCAAGCGCAAATGGTATCTAGGGTCACCTGGAGGACTTTAGATATCCTCGGCAAACAGGTTCCTTTGACCATAACGACAATGTCATCAGCATAAGCTTGTATTTCCACACCAACGGCTTCGACTATCGCAATCAGATCGTCAACTAGGAGGGACCAAAGCAGGGGAGATAACACCCCTCCCTGCGGGCAGCCACCTCCCGGCCTGAAGCGTATCGTATCACCGTGGAGTGAAGTAGAAACTATTCTACTATCTAGCATATTGCGGATCCAACCCGCTATAGTTGCTTCCACTCCCCTGTCAAGAGCAGCTCTTTCAAGAGATTGTGGTATTGCGTTGTTGAACGCTCCCTCTATATCCAGAAACGCACAAACCAAGATTTCTTTATCCTGCAGCGTCCTGGATACTCTACCAACTAAGTTGTGTAGAGCCAATTCTGCTGATTTTCCCGCTTGATAAGCATACTGGTGGCGACTCAGTGGACCAGATACCAATGGCACCGTACGGATATACCGTTCCAGACCTTTTTCAAGGGTTTTCAGCAGAAATCTTTCGCTATATCCTTCAATATCTGATTTAACATCTCTCATTCTCCCTTACGTAGTATGCTAGGAATCGTTTAGGCATAGTGACTGGTTTCCCTCAATATTGTTCCCAAATACTCCAAATATTGACTTCTTCGCTAATACTACAAGAGTAGAAGGAATCATGCCTCGATTTGACATTATGTAAACTTGATATTATCTCGATATGTTGATAATTTCTTTGCAATGGCATAAACAGTTTGAGATTGTACCCACTGATAACTTTATTATTAATTGAAACGGCAAAGGATACGCGAAGCAATTGTTTTTTTGGATGAGGTGGTGAGCATCAAGTATTTATCATCTTATGTCCTCCTTAAAATTGTTTCAAAACTTTTTGAACCTAATAATTTTCACATAACTTTCGATACACACCAATATTATTCTTTTTAAACTATGTGTACCACGAATTTAACTCTCGCTTAACTGGCTCCTATATTATATTAAAATTTAGTCATACTATTCATTTATTTTATTAAACGACTTCCTTTATTGCTTCATACTTAATCGATCCCGGATAAAGTCGCCTTGATTCGATCTCGTGTTACTGTTTTAACTTACCTAAACGCAAACGGCTTCGTTGGGCGTAGCCGTTTCGCAATTTGGTCATACCTTCGCATGAACTGCGACAAAGCGGTTTGTTTTGAAAAAAAAAACTTACAACCTACGTCCCTATCTATTCCCGGATAAAGATTATTGAAACGATACGACGACGTCGTGCGGTTTTATGGTTTCTTGTGGGCACCAGTAATGAGAACGACCTCTTTTGGAGATTATAAAGAGACTAGTTTTTCAATCTCCTTGATTACTCCATAAAGCCTTTGTTCAAAGAAATTGAATTTTTAGTCATTTTGATCTGAAGCATGATAACAAAGTCATCTAAATTATGTCTAAAATGTTATTATTTATTCGATATTATTAGATAAAGTTGTACAATTTCCTTTCAAGGGAATAATACACGTAACACCTTTACACATGGATAAAAAAAAATTTGAAAGTTTTATAAACCTTTAATTATAGAATACCGCATACGAAGGAATATGTAAATGACATGAACGTAGGTATAACTCGTGTATGAACGACACTTACTTCTTATTTTAACAAAATGACTCAGCAAATTAAATTTTAATAAAATAATCTAATTCAATTTACGCCTCTAAAAACAATCTAATATTTCTAAAAAATTGGGAGTGGCCGAGTTTAGATAGGCTTTTTTATCTCTTAAATTTTATCGGTTTACATCCGCCATCAAGCTAAATATCTTGTTACCAATTACACTGCGTCATCTACTTCCAATCACCACAAATCCACAATAAAACCTAGGCTATGCGTAGCAAGGTCGTATACCTAAGTCGCGGTGGTTCAAGTTCCGCGGTCGCATTGGTATAAAACCCGACGATTCCCATTCGAATTCATCAGTCAAACGACGCAAAGTGCCCAACACAGACCTACAAGAACACTAAATCTAAACAAAAATCAAAATGTTCAAATTGGTGGTGTTGTCTGCTCTTTTGGCCGTAGCCGCAGCTAAACCCAGTTATCTTCACGGAGCTGCTCTCTCATACGCCGCACCAGCTATTGCAGCTCCAGCTTATGCAGTTCCATCAGCAGTCAGTTATCAAGCTAGAACCGACGTTGTCAGCAAACCAATTGTAGCAACCGCTTATGCAGCTGCTCCAGTTGTTGCTCATGCGGCTCCCGTTGTTGCTGCAGCTCCAGTTGTTGCTGCCGCTCCAGCTGTCTCAATCCCAACCGCGGTTAGTTATCAAGCTAGAACCGACGTCGTTAGCAAACCAATTGTAGCTACCACTTATGCCGCTGCCGCCCCAGTTGTTGCTGCTTACGGAGGTTATGGTAGTTATGGAGGTTACGGAGCTTACGCTGCCCCAGTTGTGAAGTCTTATGGTTATGCTGCCCCCGCACTTGTTAAATCATACGGCCATTATTGGTAGAGAAGGCGGAGACTTTGCTGTTTGTTGACCTGATCGACTGAACGTGTTACCAGAAAATTCATTGCCTTTTGGAGAGTTTTTGTTCTAAATTCTCTTCTTATATATTTTTGTAGTTAGTTGTGTACAAAGTACATTGTTAAATTAATTTAAATAAATAAAATGTGATGATTCAACGAATCTTTATTTGTTTCCATTTCTGAATTAATAAAATTTACGCAAACAAAATAAACGAAAGGTTCGCACTTATTTAATCCTTTTTGAAAAAAATCAAAACGAAATTGCATATCAAGGCAAAAAAAGAATTTATCGATGTGGTGAGAATATTTCAGTTACATATTACTTAACACCTTATATAGGATAGTTTGATGTATACAATCTCAGTTTCAAAGCTGAGAGGTTGCATAATTACTATGTATGTTCTTTTTCTGAAGATTTGTGTAAAGCAAATTATATCCTCATCATTTTCGCAAAATTTTTATTCCACTTTCAGGTTTTTCAAAGAAGAATAGCACTTTCCAGACTGGAGAGACACTGGAAAAAGGAAGGAGTCTTAGCAGAGCGGAGGAAGACTTAAAAGTCACTGAAAAAACAAGAGCTACATTAAACAGAGAGAAACTGGAATGAGGCTATAATAATAAGAAAAAATTCTACATAGGAATAAGACTGGGAGGGTGAAAGGGATAAGACTGCATACACAAGAAAGAGACTGAACAGAGATTGGAAACATGAAAAGAAGACTTGTAATAGAAGACAGAGGCTAATAAGTGAAGGTAAATATAGGGCAGAAAGGAGAAAGACTGAAAAGAGGCTATAAAAGCAAAAAAGGTATTGGATAGAGAGGAGGGAGACTGGAAAGAGACTGCTAAAAGAAGAAAGATACTGTACAGAGACTGAAAACCAAGAAAAGAGGCTGGGCAGAAATGAGGAGTCTTTAAAGGCAAGAAAGATGTTGGATATAGAGGAGGGAGACTGAAAACAGACTACTAATGGAAGAAAGAGACTGTACAGAGAATGCAAACCAAGAAA